TTAAGACAGCTGACTCCACTGTGATGTGACCCTGTCTCTCTCTCTCTCTCTCTCTCACACACGCGCACACACACACACACACAGACAGGTGTGTGTCCATATTCCGGCGGGACCATCACGACTCTGCTGGGCTTAACTCATCTTAATTAGAAATTACAGCAAGAACAAATTAACATAGAGAGAGACAGATGACGTTAAGAATCTCAACTGCAGTGCTGGGAGGAACCCAGCTAACAAAAATATGTTCTAACAACTTATTTTAACGATCCTGTTGCGTTATGAAAACATTACTTATGAACGTCCAGGTCTTTTTGTTTTTTGTTCTAATGTAAAGACCAGATACAAGTCTATTAACATTACTGGGAGAACGTTCATTCATAACACTGAGAGAATGAATGGATTTCAATATGTCTCAGCCCAATATCAACCACGACATCTGTTTTTAATGAAACTTATTCTGGAGCAGAAGGAACAGAAAGAGACCGTCTGACCAATATGTAAAGTGACTAATCCTAAAACACAAAGTGAACTGTGGTTATACTGTATCTAAACCCAGTTATACTACAATAACAGACTGCAGTGGAAAAAAATAATAATCAAATAAAGTTTTTTTTGCGAACGATTGTACACAAACAGTTTAGAGCAAAATCTAATTGCTTTCCAAAAGTAATATGACAGAAAACAAATCAAAACACACACTTCTGCTTAATCGCTTCAAACAAACTCTGACTATCTTTCAAAGGTTTGAAACCACAACCCGAGTAAGTACAGCAAAACCAGACCAATACAGTAATTCATTCTTCCACAAAAGTGCCCAAATCATCAGTCCTGCACATTTTAAACATGATTTTGTAGACACATATAAACCTGGATATTGCACTGCATGCAGGCGATCTGACTTTGGCAATTCATCAATATGGGAAAAAAAGCCCAACTCTTTTGTGGGGTTTTTAAGTTGCGTAATGTTGCTTCTTCATGCAATCACAGCCTATAAAGCTGCATGTTTGTTCTGACGTGGCAGCAGTGTGTGTGTGTGTGTGTGTGTGTGTGTGTTCAGGCCTCAGCCAGGAATGATCAGGCTCCACAGCAACCCCTGTCTCTCTGATGCTGAAGTCGGACAGCAGCCCAATCGCTGACTCTCATCTGCAGTTGGTCAGTGGATTCGCATGAATACATCATCATTCACATGCTAAAAATACTCCTGATGGGGAACAACACTCGCCAGCGAACTTTCACAAACACAACACAGCCATTCTCCAACTGTGAGAACTGTGACAAATTAAAGGCCTCCAAGGAGGAAAATCAATTACAATCCATTAACCCCATGCTGGGACAAAATACAGTACAAGACCAGTGTTACTGTGATTTTACCACAGTTATAGGGTGTTGTTAACCCTTTAAAGCTGCAAAGTGTTATTTCTAGTGTCCCAAGATGTGACCGAAAAAAGTGACACTCCAATGACTTTACAACTACTTCAAATATGGCTTCAAATATATAATTATGAATAAAAATAAAAGGAAAAAACACCGAAACATGATGCCCATGTGAAAAATAATTTTAAAAAAGTATATAAAAAAACAATATAATATAGACGATATAAAATTTAATTAAAATGTTACTTTAAGTGTATTTAAAGTACTTTCATGACTGTTTCTTAACACGCATAAGCACATTTTTAAATAAAGTCAAATTAAAAGTTTTACTTTAAAGTACATTTTACATGGTATACAGTAGTAAAAAACTGTACATGCAGACAATATATTATTAATTAAGTAAAAGGTTGCTTAAGTGTACATTAAAGTTTTTTTTCATGGCTGTTTCTTTACACATTTACATTTTTATTTTTTAAATATACTTGCAGACAATATAATATTAATTAAATGAAAGGTTACTTATGTGTACTTAAAAAGACTGCTTTCACACTTAAGTACATTTTAAATGATGTAATTTTAAAAGTTTTACTTTAAAGAACATTTTAAATCATATATTGTTTAAAAACTACCTGCAGAAAATAAAATATCAAAGAAATAACAGGTTAATTAAGTGTACTTATAGAGTTTTCCATGACTGTTTCTTAGCACACTTAAGTACACTTTTAAATAATGTCAAATGAAAAGCATAAAATGTATGAAATTAAAGGTTACTTAAGTGTACATAAAAAGTTTTGGTTACACTATTTTAAGGTGTCCTTGTTACAGTGTAATTATACATATAAGTACTGAGTAATATCAATTAACTACATGTACTTATTATATAGTTAGGGTTAGGATTTGGGTTCGGCTTAGGGTTACTCGCATGTAATTATGCATAATTAATTGTTATTATAATAGTAAGTACATGTAACATGTGTAACAAGGACACCTTAAAATAAAGTTACCAACGTTTTTCATGACTTTTTCTTAACACACTTAAGTACACTTTTAAATAATGTTAAATAAAAGGTTTTACATAAAAGTACATTTCAAATGTATTTATATTTTTAAACTGTACCTGCATACAATATAATATGAATGAAATAAAAGGTTACTTAAGTGTACTTAAATAATTTTAAAATAAAAGTTTTACATTAAAGTCATTTTTGAATCATTATATTAATAATATTTTGTCATGCTTTGTTATAAACTTGTTTTGATGTGTTGACTAACATACTAAAGCACATGTAAACACTCTAACTGTATTTTAAAATTAATAGAATTATGAAATTACACATGATGATTTACTCAAGTCCCACTTAAGTAGTTAAAAAATCATTTATATTAGTTGATAACGTTGAAATAATTGCATTTAATATACATTTAATCTACAATAGGTTTTCATTTAATTGTAAATAACATGCAATTAAATGTCCAGAAACATTACATTTAGTTTGCAATAAGTATATATATATATTAGTGCTGTCAAATGATTAATCGTGATTAATCGCATCCAAAATAAAAGTTTTTGTTTACATAATATGTGTGTGTGTGCTGTGTATATTTATTATGTATATATAAAGACAAACACATACAGCATATATTTGGAAAATATTTACATGTATTTGCATGCATATATTTATGTTCATATAAATTATATCATATATAAATATATTTAATACAGGTGCATCTCAATAAATTAGAATGTCGTGGAAAAGTTCATTTATTTCAGTAATTCAACTCAAATTGTGAAACTCGTGTATTAAATAAATTCAATGCACACAGACTGAAGTAGTTTAAGTCTTTGGTTTTTTTAATTGTGATGATTTTGGCTCACATTTAACAAAAACCCACCAATTAACTATCTCAACAAATTAGAATACTTATTAAGACCAATAAAAAAAACATTTTTAGCCTTCTGGAAAGTATGTTCATTTACTGCATATGTACTCAATACTTGGTAGGGGCTCCTTTCGCTTTAATTACTGCCTCAATTCGGCATGGCCTAATTTATTGAGATGCACCTGTATATAAACATAACATATTTTTCTATATACATGCATCTGTGTGTATTTATATATATACATAATAAATATACACAGTACACACACATATATTATGTAAACAAAAACTTTTATTTTAGATGCGATTAATCGTGATTAATTGTTTGACAGCACTAATATATTTCAAAGTATATTATTGAGTATGCTAAAGTGCACTTCTTTTTCACAAGGGTGAGAAACCCTGTGCCTGAGAAACCATGATTTTGTAAGACATCAATAGAGTTCATGGTGTGTTTTCAGACAGTATTTATTGATCATGCTGTGTTATTGATCAGCGTTGGGTCGCCGCTGCAGATGCATGACGTGTCATAAACGAGCTGAGAGGCGATTAGTCATGTGACCGAGAGGAGCCATTATCATTGTTACCATCCAGCCCTCTTCATCTCCTCAACGCTCGTTATCCTCTCGCCTGCGTCTCTCGCTGCTCTCAGAATGAGTCACTTAGATTTCAGAGCACATAATAACAGTTAAACCGACGGGAGGCAGTCTGTCACGGAGAAGAACGACAGAAAAAGCAACGTCGAGGATGAAATGGAAAAAATGACAGAAAATGTGAAAGAAAAATAAGCAGCGTAGGAGGATTGAGATGAATCTCACAAAACCTGTCAAGGACATGTCTAGGCCACATCTAGTGATAAAATCAAAAGGAAAATATAAGAATTATAATATATTTAAAATATAAAATATTTAAATTAGCTAAATAAAATATTTTGCTCAAATAAAATTAAGAAATAGGAAGGTTCTAAAATAAGTGTACTTCTTTGAAGAGATTATTAAAAGACATTAAAACATTATTAAAGAAAAATAAGTAGTGTAGGAGGCTAGAGATGAATCTCACAAAAACCTGTCAAAAAAAAACCCAACAAATCAGTCACACAATTTTGATTGAAAAAATTTGAAAAAAAAAAAAAGTAATTAAAGGTGGGGTAAGCGATTTTTCAAAAACGCTTTAGAAAACTGATTCGGGCCGACTAGCAAAACAAACTTGTAGCCAATCAGCAGTAAGGGGCGTGTCTACTCGTGATGTGGAGGAGAAAGCATTCAGTGCACAGGACGGACATTAGCCGAGCCGAGCGACAGAAAGATAGAAAGCGACAAAGCGACCATTATA